TTGCACATGACTCCGTTAGTTGAGTCTCTTTGTGGCTCTTTGGTCTTTCTAACTGCTTCATCGTGGCCGACGGGAGCGACTACATCCCTCCACTGAGGACGCTCTGGTTTTAGTCTCTGACTTGTCAAACTTTTAACATCAACTTTCCATGAAGTGATGATTCACACATTTCTGGTTTCCCGCTTTCAGGCCGAATCCGTTCGCTCACGTCCGACTCAGAAAAACGGTCACCAACGACCGCTCGGCTCCCATCATCGAGTGAGTCTTCAGCCCGACCGTTCCTGCCGTCTGTGGTCCGTCAGTCCGTCCAGCCTCCGGACCGACCGACCCCCGCTGACCTTTCTGTCCACCGTAGTTGACTCTGGATGTTGTGCCGTTTAATCTTGTTCAGCTTCTTCGTGTGCAGGAACGGACCGATTTTAAAACTCTTATAAATGTGATTTAGTTGTGAGAAGAAAAAAAAAAAAAGAGCGAATCGCTGTAACACCTGACAAATGTGCTTGAGTGAGCGTTAGAATAAAACCTAGTCTAGTTTTTACGCCCTGTTTAGCTTCGTCCAGAATAACTAACATGTTTTAATTTGCCTCTGACTGTTTGTTTTCGTGCCATATTCAGAGAAGTTTCTGCTGATTTAGGGACTGGATCCTAATAGCTGGTTTGGCCTTAATGAAGTGTTTGGGGAAGAGGACAGGCTCCTTCTCTACATATACAGGATTATATTTTGTAGGAAAGCTGCCAGACTGGTGCATTTTCTTGGTTTCAATGAAGGTGAACTTTTAAAATTTAATTTTAAGTGTCTTTTTTTTTTATTTTAATTTTATTTTAAAGCGTGATTATTTGGATTTTAATGATTGAGACGGACACCGAGCTACTTCTGTGTCCCGTTGTGTTTAGTTTCTGGTGTTGAGCGGTGTTTTCTGTCGGGTATATTTTATGTTTCTGCTGCTGTACGGTTACAGGTTTAGATTATTGGATCAGCAAAGAACAAAAACTACATCCTGCCTTAATTTTGATGATTCAGATTTGAGCCTTAACGCAGAGAAACTCAGACAAAACAAAGAAAAGCTCATAAACTTCTGAACGTTTGGATCGAGGTTTTGTTAAGTGTTTTCTTTAGGAAGTAGCTCGTTGTGGAGGGTTCCTGGTCTTCTGGAGGAGAGATTTGAGCGCTTAGTCTTTGGGTTTGACGTCTTCTCGATTTCTTTTCTGAAGCTCTCGTTCTAGCCGACTGTAGCTGCACGTTTACCGACCAGACTGAGCAGAACCTCAGAGAGAGATGTGAAGTTTAGACTGGAGGAAAGAAAGTGATGAAGAAAGTTTAGGGGAAAGTTGACCGACATCGGAGCAAGTGCTGGTGGTGAACTAGAGACGCCGACGGTCGAACTCTGTTGTAGCTCTGCTGCCGTTTAGAGACGTGAAGGTGAAATAATTCTCTTTAACCGAGTTGCTGTGATTTTTTTTATTTTATTTTTTTTTAGCACCTTGAAGATTTGAGATGTAAAAGTTGTAGAAAATCATTTCTAACGGCACATAAATATATAAATGACTTGATGTAGCATTCCATCACTAATGCAAGTGACAGACACATGGTAGAGCTAACGCTTATTCACACCTGTACATAGCTGAAAACATGCAATTATATAACTTTTATTTCTTTTTAAACCGATATTTCACTTTGGTAGAACATTTGGATTTTGTGGCGATGCAGAAGAAAACCTGACAAACTACTTTTACTCTAATTACTGTGCACACAGTCTTGAATTTTAGTTTTAAATGGATTAATACTGATTAATTTATGTGTAAGTGGCTCATAAAATCCAAAAAAGGGTTAATCTTTTACTGAGTTGGTCAAGAAATGTTGCACAAAAGATTACAGTAATAATAAATGAGAACTATTTCAGGACCTTTTAAAACTGGAGTTGAAAGGTTAGAAAAAAGAATATTGGTTTAAAAATGGTGACATCAAAAAATCATCAATGAAATTTTAAAAAATGCACGAGACATGAAATCAATCTAGAATATGTCTGTTTTCTAACAATATGAACAAAAATTATTGTTAAATCTGCAGAATATTTTCTGTCCAGAACCTAAAACCAGCTGATCGGTGCAGCCGTCCTCGTGAGCACAAAACCAGAACGTTTCTACTGAAGTGAAATATCGTTTAAACATTAGACATGAGTTCATGAAGTCCTCGGTTTTGTGCAAAAAAACTGCATCAATATGAAATCCTGACTGCAGAAGTGTGATGACGAGAACTGCTGAGGAATGTTGACATGTGAAATAAAAGTTCTATGAAGGACGTTTTTCTGTTAGCGTCTCTTTTAAAACCTTTTAAATGTGCGTTTACTGCATTGTTGCGTCATGTTTTGTGTATTTATCTTGTGTAGTTCGTTCAAAATCTCACTGATGAACTCTTAATTTATCTGTGAACACATTCTTCCTGCTTATGCAAGAGGAATCACGCTGGTGTGAAACAAGGAATTCATTTTTTCCCGGCGTTAATCTGATTGCAGGTTTTTCTCTCTAAGCCTCCTCTGAAGGATCAGAACTGTGTTCAGGCTTATGTTCAAAACTCTGCTGAGCTGCTCCAGAACAACTGAACAGAACTCTGAGCTCTGACTCACGTTTTCTGTCTGATGAACGAGGTTTGTTTCTGCTCCGTGGCTGTTCAGAGGCGGCGACAGCATTTCACACACGACTCCAGTCGTCTGTAAAAATTCTATTCAGGTCGTTATCTGGTGAGATTTTGGCTTTTTGTTCACATTTCTAACTGCAGTTCACAGACTTCAACTAAAACCACATTCTGAACAATATTTCCTCCAAAACATTAGGAACGATCCAACCAGCATTTTCTTTATTTCTATATAATCATTGTTTTATTGTTAATATTTGTTACCTGAACATTTTGCATCATGAATCCAAAATACTTCCAGAAATATTCAGATTAACTGCAGTCTTTTATCCTGATTTTAAACTGTATTCGTGGGTTTATGCCAAAGAAAAACACTCATATACTGATAGAACAATTATGAGAACTTAAATAAAACTTAACTGTGAGTTATTGTGCAGATCACACAGGCGTCAGTCATAAACAGGGAGGTTTTATTGTGATTTCTATTAAATTTTTACCTGTAAATGTGTTTTCAGGTCGTTCTTATGTGCAGAAAACCTTCCAGTGTTGCTTCTGTTTCTATATTCTGAAAGTTTCCACTGAGGGGGTTTGTTCATAGATCATTCACAGCTTGATTTATGAACATTTTATTCCTAAAAACATGCAGAACATGTTCTTTTTCTTCACTGTTGACGGCATTTTCTGATGACTGGAGTGAGTAAAGGAGGAATCCAGAATCCCTTCTGTACAAACTTTGAACTGTAATAATGTGAAACAGGAATTTTAAAGCTGACTTTATCCAAAGTTTAGATGTCTGTTATGGAAACTATTACAAAATTCTGCATTTTTAGCAAGATAATATGAAATTTTCATATTTCAAGCAAAAACTAAACTTGTTCTAATGTCAGTAATCAGCTGGGAAGTTTAATAATAACCTGCAGTGTTTTACCTTAAAGTTTGTTTAAGCTGTGGATGTGCAGCGTCCACTGCAGCTGCCTCAGAATGACAGATGTTGAAAAAAAATCTAACTATGTTTTCAGTCTCGTTTGGGAGTAACACAAAACTTTGAAGTGAATCTCACTCTTTTTTTTAAATAATTCAAACATAAGCAGGTCAAGTTTCAAAACATGAAGATTCAATTTCGGTTGAACAAGATGCTGAAACATTTGTGTTCTGTTCTAATGTCCTGAATGACTCCAGACCAAAAAAGACAGCGCAGAAGTAGAATTAAATAGAATCTTTAATCTCAGACAAGTGCGCACAGACATGCACAGGAGGAACGACGCAGACGTCGGCGTTGAGGGCAACAAGTTAGAGCGTTTTTACCCACGCCAGGCTCCTTCCTTTCGGTTCACACGGATGTGCAGGAACGTCGGGCATGTTTCCATCATCTCGCACTGGAACTGAAAATTAAGAAAAGAGGCTTTAATGCTTCATAAAACAGACGAAACCGTCGGACACGAGCTGCGGTGAAGTAACAGTGTTTACCAGGGTAGATGTACGGCATCGATGAGTTCAGCATCGTCGTGTATTTGGTGTAGGGGCTGACGAATGGAAGGATAGAACCTGACGGGAGACAAAATATTATTTATTACTTCACTCACAGGACATCAGCACTACACTACAGTCACAGCTGAAGCAATAAGGAGCAGCTCGTCTGATAATCCATCAGTTTGTTTTAGGAAAGAAGTTTAAATTCTGTGATTGCAGCTTCTTCAATGTGAATATTTTCTGGTTTCTTTGCTCCTCTGTGAGAGTAAACTGGAAAACAAGACATTTGAGGAAACACAGATCCACATTTTTACCATTTTCTAACATTTCATAGACCAAACTGATTTTTGGTTGATCCAGAAAATCCTCAACAGACTAACTGACAATTCAAATAATCACCACTTTCAGTCAAGTCCACCTCCAGTTTGTCGAGAGATGTTATTCATTTTTGAATTATTTTTATTGTTTTATCTCTAAAGTGTGACAGGATGGTGAAAATGCTCATAGCATCTTAAAACTAAAGGCGACGTCTTTTGTTCGCCCTCCAGTCAGAAACTAAACCAGACAATATTACTCAGACTAACTTAAATATATTCAGCTGCAGCATCAACAAGCAAATATGAAAGTAATTTGCATCCAGTGTTTCAGGAAAAGCAACATTAAAGGAGCAGGACAGTTTCTGGTCTGGTTATTTTATGGTCATTTTTGTTCTTTTCAGTAAAACGGTAGAAATAAAAATGAAGACACTGTTGTCATAAAGGTAGGTTACCTTCAACAAATGTATGTATTATGTGCTCAACAGTGTTGATGTGACAGTTGGATCAGCAGATATCAGGGTGTGAAAAAATACAGACGCTGTTTATTTACTATCTGTTGACTCCACTGTCATCTGTCTCTTGTCTGAGCTCCGTGTATTCAGCAGCTACTCACCTACTATTCCTAACGTGCAAGAAAGCAAGACAACGGGCTCCTTATTCCACGCATTCTTCAGAAACGCTCCGATTCCTGCAGGGAAAAAAAACATCACATTAATAAAACCCTTCTGCTGCTGCTAACGCTAGCTAACGTTAGCTAACATTAGCAGCACAACCAAGGTCACATTTTCCGTTTTGTTTCTGATTAATATCATCCTGTTAAAGTCACTATAAGCGTCATTCAGAGGAATTTTTCATATTTAATGTGTATATCAAAGCCGCATTGGGGCTCAAGGTGAAGCTAACTTCGCTCATTTCTGGTCCAAAAAATGACAAAATACACACGTACCCGCCATATTGTCTGGTGTAGTTTTAACTGCGCAGGTGCTCCTGGGAAATGTAGTAACTGCGGAGGGACGTCCAACACTGCGGAGTGACGTATATTATCTGCGCCCGTCGCACGTAAACAATAGTGTAACAACGGAACGGAGTCGCTGTCGATGCTTTGTGCTTGATTTCAGTGCGTTTTTATGCCATTAAACGCTCGAAACCAGCTTTCATTAATAAGTAACAGACTTATATGCAGTTTTAAAAGTTTTTAGGTCAGATTTACGCGCAGGTTGATGATGAAACCGGTTGTAGAATAGCTTTGAATCCGCACAGCTGCTGTGTTTCTGGACTGATCACTCAGAAATGTAAGTACCACAGAAAGACAGTCTGTCGGTGGGGACAGTAGGACTTTAGCGGAGAATTACATCATTTTACTCAATATTATGCATAAAAATATTTTGCAACTTGGCGTAGTTAGCAGTCTGAAAAACGAAAAATGATTTTCCTTACTCAAGCTGAATTCAGTGGCAAAGAAGAGACTCCAGAAGAGTCTCATAGTTTGGCCTGATGGAGCCACAAAGCCTCAGGTCTGAGGTTAGGTTAAGATTAAAAAAACAACAGCAACTTTAAAATATAAAACAATTATTTGTTTCAAAACCACTAAACAGAAAATCTATCGGAGCTGTCAGAGTCAAAAAAAAAAACAACAAAACTATTTCTCAGAGGATTCAGAGGCGTTATTGTCATATGTAGCATTAACAAGTTATCTGCGGTGAAAGTCTTAGTTCTCTGTGTCTCTACGTTGTGCTGTGCTTCACCTTTTCACAGAATACATTCATTCATCACACTCATCAGGAACACGCTCGGCTTCAGGTTTTTGATGGTTCCTTTTCGTTTTTCATCTGAAACCTAAAGTCATGTGGGACTTCTGATTGCTAAGTTTAAATCAAAATTGAAAAATTAAATTAAGTGGTCAATTATTTTTTTTGGTTCCAAACGAAAAACAAGAGAACGAAGCTCAAAAAGTGCTCCAGTGTTGGTGACGGTAAATCGATGGACAGACAGAAAGCAGACGAGTAAGAACGTCAGAATAATGTCTTTTGGACTCTCTGTGGTGTTTATGTAAAGCACATAGCTGTTACTGTCATTTAATGCTGCATTTACTGAAACTTGGACGTGTGAGTTACACTGAATTCCCATGACTCACGTTGAAGACATTTTGCCCATAGTCCTCATGTGAAGTTTGCTGTAGTGGGTGTTTATTAGTATTCTGGTATACGGTGGGCTCACCAACACAGAGCATGGGTCTGTGAAGGTGGACCGACCCCGAACATCTGCAGAGTCACACATTTTATAGGGTATGTCAAAAGGTGGGGGGTGGGTGTCTGTATGTAAATACAGAAGTGAATAGTGGTTAGTGGCCTGACTGTACATTGAGCCGAGTACCGCGGCCATCAACATGGTCTTACTGCCCTCTGCGACCCAACCGGCCGGTGACCCAGTCGATAGCGATCCCCAGTCCATGGAACAGGACCCCGTAGTGGTTATTAGCCACCCGGTTGGGAACCGACGGTCTGATCCCTACCCCACTTTGCTATGGGCTATAGGAACTTTGACCGTTTTCACCAGCCTTGCCTGTTCACAGAGGTCGCCCTTTGCGCCCCTCTGCTAGGTGTGGGCTGTCACCCACGTACCACGCCTGGCCTACACACCTACATGCGACCAGTGCGCCGACTAGACGGTACCACGGCAGTATGTTCATTCATACTTCATCAGACACGGGGGCCTTCAGTCCTCTCCCCAGCACTATATCAGATCTTTAACGTGTCCTTGGAACTTTGCAATTCCGCCGCCGCCTGTTACTGCCTAGGTTTGGGGTGCCTAATCCCCTTCCATAAGGAGGTAGGAACACACATGACAGAAGGTGATGGGAAAAGACATGGCAACAGGGGGTGGAATCGGGAGTCTGTGACCATCAAAAGAAAAGAGAATGACTTTCTTAATCATCATCAAAATAAAAGAAAATTACTTTCTTCATGACTCATTAGAACTGAGCGTGACCAGTTAGAATTCAGGCTGACCGTGGCCTCCGTTGGGCTCCGTCAACTTAGACCCAGTGCATCTTTATGTATATATCTATAAAATAAATGATAATGATGCCCTTTCTTTCCAGATGATGGAGGATTTCTCTGGCTTGGCTCTGCCTCCTCTGTTTGGAGGACACATCCTGGAGGCGGAGCTGGAGCCTGGTGGTGTGGAGCTCGGACCAGGAGAGGTAACCACGGTGATCTTAAAATTTAAAAGAAGTTTAAAATACAAAAACTCAGTGTTGCCAGAAGCCTGTAAATCAGAGTAAACGATGTTCCGTCAGGCAGACTTCTCTTGTAGATTAGTCATGGAAAGTGAGAACAGTTTGCTTTTGTATCAAACAGCAGCCTGATGTCTTTGAGTTGATTTGCCTGACTTGCTGTAAAGGTATATATTCTGCAGCCCTGACACAGATAGAGTGCTTTCTTTGCCATATTAGCAGTGTTAACGTCACGTTTTAGCCTCCAAGAGTAAAATATAATATTTAAATTGGTCTTAAAAGCTGCCTTTAGAGAGACACACTTCCTCCAGAATCTTAGTTAAATATGCTTTAAGTGGGATGTTTGCATTTAAAGGCAGAAATTAATCAAAATCTTACATTGTAGTTGTACCAGACAGGAAACGTGGTCACATGTTCCACAGAACAGCAGGCTGTTATGACTGATAAACTAATGACACACGTACTTCAGATTCTTCTGTATCATTCAGTGTACGCAGCTGGTTTATTTTTTCCTTAGCTCTAATGATGCTGTGACAAAATGAAGCAACACAGCTTTGTTATAACCAATTAAACAGCATTTACTTAATGAAACACACAGAGAACCAAACCCAGGTTGTTTCCTTCAGGTGGAACTGGGCCCTGGAGGCAGCGAGCTGCTGGAGAACACGACGCAGGAGGACGAAGAGAGACGAGCTCTGGATAAAAGAAAATATCTGGCTCTGAACAGGAGGTGTAAAGAAATAGAGCAGGTGAGCTGCATATGTAGAGCGTGTGAATAAGATAAAACTTTATTAAACCCACTTGAAGCTATAAGTACATAGATTTATGTTACTGACAATAAACATAAACAAAAATAAGACTAGAATTTAAAAGTCATATAAGTAATATCACGCATGATATTTAAATATTGCGCAATAATTTGAAATAATACACGATAAATTAAAATATTCCTATGAAAGTGAAATGTTGCACATGTTACTGGATAGGACTTTTAATAGATTTGTAATATTTAGCGCCTGACTTGTGCCCTTTTCTGATATATTTACATCTGTGTCTGTTTATGTGATATATAGTAATTTTAAATATTGGAATCAAATATGTTGTGTTCAGGTGAATCAGAAGATCCTGGGTCGCCTTCACCAAGTACAAAGAATCACACGACGCTTGAAGAAAGAAAGACGGTGCGAAACTTCGTTACAACATCAGGTTTTTGTACATTTTTCTGAGAGGCTTCCTGCAGACTTGACTGATTTTCCGTTACAGGTTTCTGATGAAGACTTTAGATGCTCACGGGGATGATTATAGAAACGCACAGCTCACGATACTGCTGGAGGTAAGGATCTATATACAGTCTGTGGTGTATTTAAAATAAGAAAAAATTGCCTTTGTCCTCAGTTTAGTTGTTGAAAATGATCTTCAGAAGTTGTGCTATAACAACTTTGTCCCAAAAATCTAACATTTTAATATTTGCATGTTATTATAATTGGCTGGGATGAAATTTAAATTGGCCAGACAACAACTGGCTCCTCTGGTCTCTGGTTCTGATCCATGCTGCATTTATTCATTGATCCAGTAGGTTGGATTTTCCTCTCAGGCTCTCTGAGGAAACACTGGCTGCAGTTCAACCTGAACACTGGATTTTTCAGTTGGTCACAGCTGAGACAGTCGTGGAAAATCAGTTGTGCTGAGGAGCTCAAACTTTCTAGATGTTTTTTTTTTACAGGATCTAGTGCACATGCTGTATTTTCACCTAAAAACTTTCTGAGTTTTCAAGGATTTTTTACACAAAATGTGGAATAAAGTGATTTTCATAAAATGTCATGATTTTAAACTGATGCATCACACACATGACACGTTCACAGAATGCTGAACAGCTGGAAACCTGACCATCGTTTCCCGATTTACAGTTTGTTATTTTACTATTTGCAGAGTAGTTGGCTTTACTTTGGCTTTTAACTCTGGCAAGATTAACTTGTTTGTTGCTCTTGATGCAGAAAATTGTCTCTCTGTAAGCTGGAAAACGTACAATATGAGTATAATACTGTATCTCATAATGAATTTTAATGGAAAGAACACCTGAACAGAAACTGCTTCATGTTCATGAACCAAAGCCCTCTGAGCCTCACGGACCAGGTTCCTGCTCCACCTGGTTGGTTGTCTGTTGTCTGCAGCTGACTGACTGCTTTGAAACTGAATTAGTTCTGTGTGATGCACCAGAATGAATAAGTGTAATGAAGCTGATTCAAAGCCATTGGATTTTAAACTGTTCTCCTGAACCTGTTTCAGGATGAGTCTGGAGCTCATGTGGATCCTGCTGCAGCAGCTGAGGACGAGAGGATCAACGGAGTGTCTGGATCCACTTCGTCTGCAGCGGTGCATCATGCAGCTGGACCAAAGAAGAAGAGGCACCGGATTCCTCGACAAGAAAAGGACAAAGACCAACAGGTAGGTGAAGGACTGGACATGTACGAGGGGTGATCAGTAGGTTCTGAGACTGTTGGTGTGAAATGTGCAGCGGTAGCAGTCAGGACACAGGATGCTGGGTGACGTCGCTCTGTCGGCATCAGGACCTGATTCCAGATGTTTCTCCAACATCAGCTGGATGATCATCGTGGTGGCCAGAGGAGGTTCTGTGGTTCCCACCCGCAGACCAAACAGCAGTTTAACAGTGGAAGAGCCGCGGTTTTCTGTAAAGATACACAAAAAGACAAACAAAGACACAACAAGTCTGCAAAGAAACTCAAAACAATGGCAAAGAGATAAAACTGTCTGCAAAGAGACACAAAACACCCACAGAGTCATAAAATGCAGCCAACAAGGCTACAAAGAGACACAAAATGATTACAGACACAGAACAACCGCAAAGAGTCATAAACTTACTGCAAAGAAACACAAAAGGACCAGAAAGACATACAACAGGACTGCAGAGTGACAGAATGACTACACGAGAGAAAAACGACGACTACAGTGACACACAAGATGACTGCAGGAAGATGCAACGAGACTGCAGAGACACAAAACAACCACAGAGATGCATAAGAGAGATACAAGACTGTCAATAAGAAGACACATTGACTGCAAAGAGACACAAAATGACTGTGGATAGAAACAAAACTCACACAAAGAGACACAAAAAGATGCAAAACAACTACAGCGACTCCAAACGACTGCAAACAGACACAAAATGAGCCCAGCGAGACAAAGCGGCTGCACTTGGACGGGGATTGTGGCCAAAGTTGTATCACATTTTTGATTTTTATAGCGTCAGAACCTTCTGATCACACCTCATATCTGCGGCTCACGTTAGTCCTTTAATAATCATGTGTACATCTGACAGAGCAACTGATTTCTGAGTTCCTGCTTCTGTTCACAGACTGAAGCAGACATGTCAGTGTTGGCAGACTCACAGTTTGGGGAGATGCCCAGTCCGACCTCTCTGTCCCACTGATGCTGACGACGACCGGTTTCCTAAACTCCTCATTGGATAACTCTGCCTTTCTTCAGTCGGGCTTTGCACTATTTGTAGTTTCACTTGAAGGGTGTAGACAGATTGAACTCGTGCGAGGTAAACTGAACTGTCATTCTCCTGATACGTACAGTATGTTTACGTTTGATTTGTATATATTTTTTTGTGTTTTGATATCTTGTGCCGATGATTCTGACCAGTACACGGTGTCGTAGATACGGATCAACCTGGACATGGAACAGAGAAAACAACTTGATTTTATCCCTTTAAGCAGATACAGTCAGTGTTAATATTAAAATATTGCACACCTGAGCAGACTGTGCTGTGATCTTTTTTTATTTGTATATTAATGTTTTTAAATTCCAGCACATCTGCGATCACAATGTGAACGTTTCTGTACAATAGTTCAAACACACAGGAAGATGTTTCCGTTTCAGGCGTAAATAAATTGATCAAAAAATCAAGTTTCAACTCGTGCTGCTTAAATGTCATCACTGTAAGTTTCCTCGAGTGTATGAATGAAAAAATCAGTTTAAAGAATGAATCTGTGAGGAAGATAAACTATAAAGAAATGTTTTAAAAAATTTTAATGGGAACGTCTGACAGATTTGTTTTTGTGTCGATCATAGAGTTAAATCCCAAATTATTCATCCCAATCCCAGGTTTTGACTGACAGTGATTTGTTCGTTTGGTCCACACGTTTCCAGTCTGGAAATGACATAAACAAAAGACAGTGTGTTAGAGATGTTAATGATGAATTCTAACTATTCCTTTCTTCCTTTTTACCTTCTACTTTCTAAAATTATTCATATTTTTGATATTGTCACTGGGTTTCTGACCCCCGTAGCTCCATTAAAATCAGATAAATGTATAATCAATGTAAACAGAAAGAGGAAATGAAAGACAATACCGGTGGGAGATATGCTAGAGAAGCCACAGTAGAAGTAGAAATGACTTCACAGACAGAACCTCCAGCTCTGGAGACGTGAAGGGAAAGAAGAACAAAATACTAAAAACAGACTCAAGAAAAGGTTATGAGAGCACAAGTGAGACCCACATTTGCAAGCTACAGTATCTACAGTTAAGCCCCAAATATTCTCAGCCGTGCCGAAATGTGATTTACGGTAAATGTTTATTGAACCAACAGGATTGTTCTGGCTGGAAAATAATACCAACGAGAGACAAAAGACAGTAGGACATTGTGTTAGGGATATGACGATCACTTAAATCTACTTTTATGTTCTTTTGCTTCTTTATTTAAAAAAGAATGAAGAATTTTGGACATGACATTTTAGGAAAAAAACTGAAATAACCTCAAAGAAATTTTCAGAAATGATTATTAACATCTCTAAACCATTGTCCTATTATCGTTTGTCTTTTGTTTACATGATGTCCATTCAGAAGAAACCTCCTGGTCAAATATAAACCCACTACAATGAATGTAAAGTTGTCATGAACTTGAATAATTTGGGGTTTAAATCGAAGTCATCACTCTGCTCAGCCAATGGGTGGCCTTCATTCCAGCGGATGTCTGGCAGTGACAGATGTGAGCTCCGTCCAATCAGATGTCTCGGATTGTATTTAGGGCGGGGTCGAAACGCGGAGGTGGGATTTTAGCTACCGTCCATCTTCAGCTACATCACAGTGAGCGAGCTTGTCGAAAAGAAAACACAATTTGGAAGTAAAGAAGACTTTCTGGAATTAGTTCTGGCTCTATTTGAAAAAAGACAAACGAAAGCCCATACCCTAGGTAAATGTCTTGCACAAGTATAAATCTAGCTGGTCGGCTTGACCCAGTTTCCCTTTTTCCTAAATTTGGCTAGCTGGCTAGCTAAGCTGCTAGCTAGCATTTTATGCATTAGCTAGCCAGACAGTTAGCCATATTAGCTAGCAGGGTAACGATTTCAACGGATTCTGTATTATTGTGCCTTTCACAACGCAAAACCACCATATGAGAGCTGGGTCGGATCCCAGAATAATGATGCATGAATATGAAATCCGGCCATCAACACGCTCCGTGGGGCTTGTTTTGTAACCGAGCGAGGTGGACGAGCTAAGCAAGTGGCGAGTATTAGCGTTAGCTCAGTACGTTAGCTCGCTAGCTGGCTAATTTTAGCTGACAACCATGTCAGTCAGATTGGTAACATTAGCAACATGGTTCACGGTAATATAGCGATAGACCGGCAGTCATTCCGAAGTTTTGGTGTGAGGTGTTTGAATTGTGGAGCTGCGGCGTTATTTGTGCTGCTAACGTTTACTGACCAGCTGGATGGAGTTAACGTCAGTTTGACTCTCTGGAAAGCAACGCACCGACTGCTCAGTTGGAGGGATTTTGTCCTGTTTGAACAGGTACTGATGCACCTTTTGTTTCCTCCGCACAGCTAACTTTGTGACAGACGGAATGTGGACATTGTCGTAGTCAGAGCCATGGCTGACAAGAGAAAACTTCAAGGTAAGACTGTTGGTGAAGCTGTCGTGTTGCTCAGGATCCATCACGCTGCTCAGCATCGTGCACAGGCTGAGTTCCTGCAGCAGAGTTCTCATCAGACCGAAAACACAGCGTGGAAATGTGCTGTAATTCTGACTCGGAGACGAAGTTTAAACCCTGGTTTCTCTTGTTCTGTTCAGAAGAGCGTTAAATCATCGTTCATGTAGTCACACAGATATCCAGTTCAAGCTGTGGCCTGTTTGCTGTCCTCCTCTTTCCTCATTTAAACTCACCCTTTGTATGTTTCTGCAGCTTTTGATAAAGTTAGAGAAAGTGGGTGAAAATGTGCTGAACAAAACTCTACATGCAGCCTGCAAATGTTCCTCTTTTGTGACACAAAGTAAAAGTTTAAAATCTAATTTCTATGGTTCTGGTTAAATGTCATTCATGTGGTCACCCAAACACACAGCAGGAGCTGTGGACGGGTCACTATTTGCTGAACTATCATCACTCAGGCTCACCTATTGTATATTTTTGCAGCTTTTGCTAAAGTTGGAGAAACTGGTTTGAAAATCTACTCAACAAAAATACAAACGCAGCCGACCAACGTCCGTTTTCTGTGACTCAGAAAAAGTTTAAAACCTCATTTCTGTTGGTCTGGTTAGAAAACAGCTTAAAGGACGTTCATGTAGTCACACAGTTTGAGCTGTGACCTGTTGACTATTTGCTGTACTCATCTTTATAGATTCAAACTCAATTATTGTATGTTTGTGCAGCTTTTGACAAAGTTGGAGAAACTGGTTTAAAAATCTGCTAATCAAACTGTAAAGGCAACATTCAAATAGTTTTTATTTTTAACTTAAAATCTAATTTCTATTGTTCAGTTCAGCTGATCCTGCACAAAACTATACGTTAGAACTATACGTTAACTCCTTCTAGTAATGTCGTCTGTGTCGTCATCCAAATTTACAGCTGAAGTTTTAACTGTAACTGACTATTTCCTGCACTTTTCTTTGGTTTCATCGTGATTTAAACTCACCGCAACTTTTAGTAAGTTTGACTTACTGACTTAAAATCTTCTATCAACAATATAAAGACAGCATTCAGATTGTCTTCTATTCTGACTGGGAGAAAAAATGTATAATCTAACTTCTGTTGGGGTTAAATTTAGCCAGTTTTACACCAAAAGTTCCTGAGCTGTTTAACTGGTGACAAAGTGTGGAGCACTGAGTTAATCCTCAGCCCGGTCAGGTGTGGGTTTAAAGGACAATGATCAGACAGCGTGACCGGCGCACAGGAACCCCTTTGACCAGTGGCTGCAAAAGGCCTCCTTAAAATGCAGCTTTATTCGACTGATGTGATGCCACAGATGACAAGAGAAAGACGAGAACAGGCTGCAGATCAGTTGCACTCAAATGTCCACCAGTCCGCCGTATGTCGTCCAAGAAATAGTTTAAGGCAGACAATCCGCCACATGATGCTGTGGGTGAAAGCGTCCGACAACATGATCCTTCTTCTCCGAGCAGGACAACGTTCATCAAGCAGCATCAGCATCCTCGTTAACTCTCAGCGCTGCAGGTCATTCTGTTGCAGGGATGCTATGTGTTGGACCAGTAAATACTAACTCCTCCGTCTGAATAGGAACTGATAGACTTTAAAACAGTGTAACTCGCTGCCTTTAGGTTTTTGTTCAGTAACTGTTGATGTTTGGTGGTTTTGTCAGCAGTGACGCTGGAGCACGTCTTTTATCTCTGCAGGTGAGATCGATAGATGTCTGAAAAAAGTAGCCGAAGGTGTAGAACAGTTTGAAGATATCTGGCAAAAGGTAAGAGAGCTTTGTTGTTTCCCTGCTGATCACTTGAATGATTCAGAATTAGTAGTTCCAGAATGATGGGGGTGATTTTGTAGGGGAGTGCATCTGCATAGAAAATACAATAAATTTAAAAAAGTGGGAACAAAGAAGCCATTTGGAACCTTTCTCATATGGTGTAACTCTGGCAGAGACATCCACGACTGTTTTATCTTCAGGAGACATTCGTATCTCTCACACAGAGCTTTGTGATCAAACTGCTTTTTCCTCATGTAGTGGCAACACCTGCAGACAGAGAACCTGCTTTTGGTCAACATCCGTTCTATAGCTGAAATATTTCCATACAGTCGATCTCATTTGCAGTCAGATCCTCCTTTTCAGTGTTTCTGTCCTGGTCGTGTTGCTGTGCACATGTGAAGCTGAAGGTCAACAAACTCTGTCTTATGAATAAAGTTTAAAAAACTGCCAAGAAGTCTCACATCAGAGTAGATGATGTTCCCTCAGACAGACTTCTGCTTTTTGTATGAAGCAGCAAAAAAAGTTTTTGCATGACTTGTTTGAGTTAATTGTCTTTACTCCACATCACATTCCTGCAGTCTGACTTCTGTGCATGGACAAACTGCATTGTCAACAAGACAAAATGTGCAGCCCGACTTTGGATTCTGTGTTTGTTCAATAATCTGCTTTATTAACTGATGTGATTGCACATCATCGATTCATTAATTTGTCTACGTTTTAGCTCCATAATGCAGCAAATGCAAACCAGAAGGAAAAATATGAGGCTGACCTCAAGAAAGAGATTAAAAAACTACAGGTAAGACAGTTTAACTAAGACAAAAGTGTGGCTATTTGAAAGAGGAAAGGTGTTTTTGATGTTTTACTGTCTGTGCTTTTCCCAGCGATTGAGAGACCAGATAAAAACATGGGTGGCCTCGAACGAGATCAAAGACAAAAGGCAGCTAGTCGAGAACCGCAAACTTATAGAAACGGTCTGACTCTTTGTTTTCTCCTCTTGTTTTTGGATGAAGCGTAACTGATGAGAACTTGGACGTGAACGAGGCTTGTGTGATCTTTTCTTTCCTCAGCAAATGGAGCGGTTCAAGGTGGTGGAACGTGAAACAAAAACAAAAGCCTACTCGAAAGAAGGCTTGGGACTCGCTCAGAAAGTGGATCCAGCTCAGAGGGAAAAGGAGGAGACGGGACAGTGGCTAACAGTAAAACACTCACCTGCACTCGTTTACCTGCAGTCGTTTACCTGCACTGGTCTTCATAGCATTAAAAAAAAAAAAAAAAAGGCAGAACCTAAGAATGAAAACAGAACATCTAGAACTGGTCGACAGATGCTTCATTAATGTTTTCTCCTGATGTTTTTCTCTTGTGCAGAATACGATAGACACTCTAAATATGCAGGTGGATCAGTTTGAAAGCGAAGTGGAGTCTCTTTCTGTTCAGACGAGAAAGAAAAAGGGCGACAAGGAGGTAAATCCTTTTGTCTTATTCTATTCCAGGATGTGTGTTCCGCTACAATCAGGCCTAAAACGTCATGAACCGTACGTTTGTCTTCTGTTCTGTAGAAGCAGGATCGCATCGATGAGCTGAAGCGGTTGATTGAGAGACACAGATTCCACATTCGCATGTTGGAGACCATTCTACGAATGCTGGACAACGACTCGGTGCCGGTGGACGCGATCCAGAAGATCAAGGACGACGTCGAATACTACATCGATTCCTCCCAGGACCCAGACTTTGAGGAGAATGAGTTCCTGTATGATGACTTAGACCTGGAGGACATCCGTGAGTAGAGCGCTGGAGTGTGAGGACGATGTCGGTCGGATAGTCGCCGTTGTGACACCGGTCTGTTCTTCTCTTGCAGCTGCAAACTTAGTTGCGACTTCTCCGTCAGGTCAGGGCAACGTGGAAGATGAGATGTATCTCCACTCCAGCAGCACTCCCACTTCCACCACCTCCTCTTCACCCATCCCTCCATCCCCGGCCACTTGCACTGCTGTAAGTTCTCGTCTTTGTACCGTTAAAACCTCAGTCGGCGTGCTGAGGGGATGCTGGCTAGAAAAATTTTTGCACTTTGATTTACATTGACTTTAACCCTTCTTCAAGCCCCACTGTGTTTATAATAATCCACTGGCTAGAATTCTGCATCAACATTTGAAAAGTGGATTGTCACATCAAGGTATCTCCTCCTATAGGAGAACTCAGAGGACGATAAGAAAAGGGGACGATCGACAGACAGTGAAGTTAGTCAGGTGAGAGGCTCTCATCTGTGCTGTGTCAGTAGATGAACAGTTTAGCGCAGCGATCTTCATCCTTGGTCCTGGAGAGTGACGGCTGAGGGGTTCTGGCCTGTCAGCGCTGAAGTTTCCTCTGTGGGACCACGGCTGGAGACTTCTGATTTAGTTTGTGCCATTTCCAGCTTATCTGGGCCTCCATAGATCACAGTAAACTTTGCTCCTCATACACTCTGCAGTTACCTTCAGGACAGTTGTGTTTCAGATGCTTCTCTCTGATGTCATTTCCAGTCACCTGTGAAGAACGGCACCCCATCCTTGCTCTCCTCCTTCTCTTCCTCCACCACCTCCGGCTCCTCCTCGTCCTCCTCCCTCGTGTCCATGGCGAGTGTTGTCGGAGGAATCCCCGTGGTTCCCACGAGCAGCAGTCTTATAGGAAGCTTCAGCAGCGCCGTACAGCAGCATCAGCATCAACCTGCGCAGCAGCAGCAGCAACCGCTGCCGCCGAACCCGTCGCAGCAGCAACAGCAGCAGCCGCCTCAAACAAAACCTTCTGTCCCCTCAAACAACACCCCCAGCCCGCCCAGTAACCCTCTGCTGCCGGCCTCCACCGCCCCCTCTCTCCCGACGCCCAGCACGCCCAGCTCATCGGCTCCCAACTCCCAGTCTCAGCCCACGCCGGGGCCCACCTCGGCCTCCAGTTTGGGACTCGGCCTGGGGCTGGGCTTGAGCAAAGTCGGCATGACGGGGACCAGCAGTGCCAACCAGATGCCAGGTTTAGGCCTGGGGGGCCACCCCACTCCTTTAAACACAATGGCAGGGCTCATTTCGGGCTCCACACCTGCCCCTTACGCTCAGGCAGCAGCATCTGGAGGCTTGGGTTTGAGCAGCACCACGCAGTCCAGCATTTCAGTGGAGAGCAGCACTTCCATCCCGACCTCTGGCTCCAGTGGAGTCACCACCAACGGGGCGGGCACCGGGCTCGGCCTGCTCGGCTCCAGTCCGGCCCACAGCTCTCTGAGCAGCAGCATCTTGGGTCTGGTTCCCGGGCAGAGCGTGGCGCCCGGTGCCTCCCAGCTGCCTCCGAGTTCCGTCAGCTCGACCCCCGGAGTGGTCGGCATGATGGGAGGCAACGGAGGAAACGTGGGTGTGGTTGGAGGAGTCGGAGTGAACGCTGCTCCAGCTCGACCACCGAGTGGACTAAAGCAAAACGGAAGCACAAGTAGGTCACCTCCCTCTCCTGGTCCTCATGAGTGTCCACTAGGGATCGTAGATGTGGTCTTTATGGGCCAACATTGATACCAATCAGTCAGTCAAGAAAGACGAATAGCTACGGTAATATTTAGAGCTGATGAATATTTAATGCAGGAGCCTTCATTCATAGTGAGGTTGCTTCATTAGCAGACTTCTATAAGTGAACACAAAAGACAGGACGATGCTCTTCTCTGTCTGCTGTGAGATCGATGGGTTGAGATTGAACGGTTTGATGTTTTATTAATCTTTCTCTGTTGCTTTTATTGTCCACTAAGGTCCAGATCTTAAAGCATTATCAATTTTATATCTATTTCCAGACACCAATTCAGTTTAATCTGTAGCCTAACTTAGCTGTTAGCTACTAGCTGTTAACGTAGCGTTAGCCGCAGTTTAAGCAGCTAACGTCCTGATTTGTGGAGATGTTTGTGCTTCTTGTTCAGTTTTTGCAGATCGTGTCCCTGCAGAGAGACGAGTTTGTCAGAACAGAGAATTAAAGTTAATCTGACTTTAGAAACATCCAGGTAGCGCTAGCAGCAGGATAAGAAACACAGCAACCTGTTGGGGATAGCATTAGCCTAGCACTGAAAGCAGAGTAAGTTCAAGCTGCACTAACACCCACAAGTAAATTATTCTGGCATTTTTAGTGTAACGAGGAACTGCATGCTTGTGTTAGACTGAGGTGTTTATTACAACTTTAGCAACGTCTGCTAGCTCACCTCCGACACACGGCTAAGCTAAGCTAACGCAGTCATCTGTTCCTGTCCGTAACAGTAGCTTTAAGTGTTGATAGGCTGAGCCGGGCTGGTGCTAGTCCTAAGAAAAATGCAGAATATCGGCCAGACTGACAACCTGTGGATCCCGAGTGTTTGCTGTCCTGATAAGGGTTTTCCTCCTTCCTCCCACCTGTGCCTCATCTGTCCCCAGGTTACAGTGCTGTAGTGGCAGAGAGCTCCACAGAATCAGCTCTAAGCACACCGAGCCAGTCACAAAGCAGCCAACCCTCGTCTCTCAGTTCCTCCACCAGTCAGCCGTGAGTCACTTCTCGTCCTCAAACTCTGCACGTTTCCTCTGGTTTCGTTTCCTCACCTTGTCTCTCTGCTGCTCTGCCCGGTTCAGGATGGACAACGGTCCCAGTTTAATCAGCTCCATCACGCTGCCTCCCAGCTCTCCGTCCCCGTCCTTCTCAGACAGCACACCGGGCGGAGGGAGTCTTCTCAACGGGCCCCACTCCTACACTCAGGCCTCCGAGGGCCTCAAGGTGAGCCCAGGTCGCGCCAGGCCGCTTACAGGTGCAGCGGCTGATAATGTGAAGTCGGGTCAATAAAAAGCTGCCATCAGTAGATCATCGTCCTTCCCTGATCTGACCTTCTAACACCTTGGCAGTGTGAATATCAAACTATTATTAGGCCAGCAGCTCGGTTATTGATTCCTGAGCGCTAACAGCTAACCAAACTCTGTAGCAAGCTGCTCCAACATTTCACATCCAGACTTGATCTGTGCTGCAGATATCTGTGATCAGTCAAACAGGAACACTGCAGATCCCCACATGTACGTGCTTCAGGACAAACGACGTCACTTTGACCTTCGTGTGTTTGCAAATCTGAGCTTCACTCTATGTTTACCTGCAGCTGAACTCTGACTGGTTGTGGTTCCAGTGTCAGATATCTACAGTTTAATTCATAGTTGTAGGTCCAGGTGTCTTTATTTCAGTTCAACAGATCTGCATTGTCCTTTTTAGACTCTTAAATGCAGGTTGAACTGGTCAGAAACTGGAGTTCTGCCTCCTCAGAATGTGATTTCAGACACGTTGACCTCTAGCTGTGGTTTGACGGATTGGAATCATCAGTATTTACGATATCTGGAATAAAACCTACAACCACTCACGGCGTAACTTTGACCTGATGTCGATGTGTGTCATGAAATTTAAACTCGGCTCTTAAACATTGGAGCAGCTTGCCACAAGTCTCAGCTGAATTATTTGAGATGTGCTGGCACACACGGAGGTTTTTTAGTTTCTTCTCTTCGGTACATCGCTGCAGAGCGTTGATGCACTCAGCTGTAAATAGAATTATTAAAATATCCCTGCCTGCCCACAGTCCTCTGCTCTTGGCTCCCTTAACACCGAACACTGAATCCTACACTTCACGTACCCAATATCACATTAAGGCAGGATTCATGCCATGAGCAGATATTTTAGGACTTCTTGATAGAATAGAAACTTGTTGGCTTCGCTGCAAATGCTTTGATTAGTTTGCTGAATTTTGTCTGTTTTGACTGATTACTAAATGTGTCTTGTGCAGGTAATTAATTAATAACTGTGGCTGCCTGTTTATGCACATTTACAGGCTGTTGGTACCACCTACAGTCACACATATAATCAAGTTTTAATGTCCTTAGTTTCCATTCAAAGTCAATTGTTTGCCGCCATGTGTTTTCACGCGTTCCCATCCATGTTGTAGTTGCAGGCTCCTGGTTTAACTTCACTTTGCTAACCGCCGTGTGTCCACGTTCCCTCCTCAGGCTCCGGAGCCGCTCAGTTCTCTGAAGGCGATGGCAGAACGAGCAGCGCTGGGGTCAGGCCTGGACGGAGAGATCCCCAACCTGCATCTAACGGACAGAGGTCACCACGCTAGTCTACACACTGACTCTCTGAACAGTAATCTACCCGCAACTTTTACACAACATTCACACTGAGAAAGGAGCCGACTCACAGCTAAACTGTACATAAATCAGAATTACCTTCATGACAAAGCTGGTTTCCAACATACGAAGAGTCTGACGTGACGAGTTTTGGTGCATGAAGAAAAACGATTTTAATTAAAAGCATGTGCCAAATCCAGCAAATCCAAATAGTTGTTGAAGTATTAAAAAGTAATGAAATGTTCACAGTGTGCAGAAATGTGCATATTTTTTTTAGCTGAGAATGTACAAACAGCTGGATGAAGCTGTGCATTCATTTAGTGTGTAGTCACAGCACATGTGAAGAGCATCGGTGGTGTTTTCATTCATCAGCAGCTGCAGAACGAGATGATGCTGCTCGTGTCAGGTAGTGTTGATAGTTGAGATGACAACAGGTTAGCAAGCGGACAGAATAGTGTCGGTCCAGTGTTTCCCATCTGTCAGCCTGTGATCAGCCTCTATGAATGATGAAACGGGTCCATAACGAATCGAATTGATTGTTTCAGCACCACACTCTGGCAGTAGACAGTCCTTTGTTGCTGAACTACGAGGGGTGATCAAAAACGTTTCAGCTGTTCATGTACACATCTAAAACTCCTCCTGATGTGGATCTGACCGCTGCCTCTGTTGAAGTGTTAAAGTGCAGCGACTCTCTGCTCCTGGAGCTCCTCACCTCTCAGTCTGAAGCTTTCTCTGCTGTTTCTGTGTCTCGTTGTGGTTGTTTTGTGTTTCATTTGGAGTACTGTGGTTTCTACTGAGCGCACCTAAATATAAGCCACACCCACTGACTCTAAACAGAAAACCAGGTGTGTTCATATCCAGGCTGCAGGTGTCTCTAAGCTGCAGGTGTCCACGTTGGAACATGAGATATTTACACAGAAAGATGTTTTAACCTTTAATTAAATGCGTAGCGGTAACATCCACAGATACGTACCGTAGAGGCTTTTTTCTGAACACTTCCTGTAACACGGCTGCTTAAGGAAATAAAACTCCAGCAGCTACCAGGAAAAGTCACTGATGGCTATCTTCATCTTCCTCCTGCACTAAAACCACTAAAGTCGTCTTCTTCAGTGTCTTCAGGAGCTGAACAGCCTCAGAATCACTTCATCACTTCCTCAGCCTCTCTGTCGTCGTCGCTCTCAGCCTCACTTTGGTCTCGAGGCAAACTCATAAAAATCCATAAATTAGCCGCATCGTTGTTTAAGCCGCAGAGTTCAAAGTAGCAGCTTATAGTCCAGACATTACGGTAATTTGGTTCTCTGTCTGTTCCAGTCAGTTTGTGTGATGTTGTGTGTTGTTGCCGTCATTTTGTGTCGTTGCAGTCTTGGTGAGTCTCTGTCGTCATTTTGTGCCTCTCTGGAGTCACGTGTGCCTCTTTGTGGTTGTCAGGTTTACCTGTGTAGTTGTTTTGGACGTCTTTGCTGTCATTTGTCCTTTTGTGTCTCTTTTTGTTTGCTTTGTGTGTCTGCAGTCTGATTGTGACTCTTTGTGGTCGTTTTGTGTCTTTACAGTCATTGTATGTCTCTGTGGTTGTTGTGTGTCTGTGGCTGTGTCTTTGCTGTCCTTTTGTGTCTCTTTGTTTGCTGTGTGTGTCTGCAGTCATTCTCATCTCATCGTAGTTGTTTTGTGCGTCTTTGTGGTGTTTTTTTTATTGTCTTTTTGCAATTTTTTGTGTCTACAGCCTTGTTGTGTGTCTTTACAGTCATTCGGTGTCTTTTTATGACATCATTTTGTCTCTCTTTGTGTCTCTGAAGCGTTGTCGTGTCTCTTTGTAGTTGTTTTGTGTCTTTTGTTGCGCTGCTGTTTGGTGAGCGGTCGGTAACCACAGACCCTCCTCTGGTCGCCGCCGTCTCACACAGTGGGATGTTGGAGCTCATGTAGAAATCACTGATGTTCCAGAAACATCTGGATCTCAGGTCCTGATGCCCACACAGCGACGTCATGATAGTTGCAGCTCGCACATGTTGAACAGTACCAGAACTTTTTAATCACCCCTCACTGAAAAGGACTCAGTCAGTCAGTATTTGGCCAACCTGATGCTGCAGTGTCGTATCCAACAGTCCTTTCCTTTGTCTTTGTCCTGCAGACATCTTCTCCGGTTCCTCCGCCGCGTCCGGCACCCCCGCCGCCCCTCAGCCGTCCGTGTCGGAGGTCAGCATCCCCCCATCGCTGGGCGTCTGTCCGCTGGGCCCCACCCCGCTGCCCAAAGACCAGCTGTACCAGCAGGCCATGCAGGAGTCTGCGTGGACACACATGCCTCACCCCTCCGACTCCGAGAGGATCAGGTGAGCACGTCACAGCCGTCTAACGTACAGCGCTGGGAGTGTTTGACAGTAAACAATGAATTTATAATGAGCGGGTAACTTTTTCTTCACTGTATCCTGGAAAACGTGATCTGAACCCGTTTCAACCAGGACGAGTCTGAAGACAAACATCTTTGATTGTCCCATAAAAAGAACAACAGTGAACATCCACCTGTGGCTTCTGTTTTATCACACAGAAATGCAAATGTTGAACTATTTCTACACTCAGTGGGCAGCCTTATTGATTAATAGTTGATTGATAATGAAATCAAAATAATACATATTGCAATAAAATAATATTTAATGTGTTAAACTCTGGACGTTGTTCCATGTCCTGGTTTATTGGCTCCACATGCTAACAGCGTGGTCAGTGTTCAGCCAGCAGTGACGCTTCAACACTTGAGCTGGTTGACAGCATCACTGGTCAGGAGTCAGTTAGCATCACAGAAGTCTCTGTCATGGTCCCGCTGCTAGCTAAGCTCCCACAATGCTCTCTGCTTACAAACAGTCAGATGTGCTGCAGCTAATCTACACTTCTGACGTGCATGTTCTTTGTCGTCTCCGTTATCGGTTAAAACATGATTATTGATTATATTCTAACCAGTAGCCTCCCCAGTACCACCCTGTTGTCCACAGACTGGTCACAGAGCTGCACCAGGTGGCTCTGGGGTTTATTTTGGTTAAATCCCAGCATCCCGCTGCTGTAAATGCCTGTTAGCGCTCCAGCTCTGCAGCTGAAATAGTCCTCAACAGATAAACACTTCACACCTGTTGGAGGGAAACAGCTGCTTCAGGACCTTCGCCTCTGTTTAAACAGAAAATCTAGAAGTTGTGACCTATTTTTAAAGACTTGCGCTGGTGTCACAGAGAAACTGGGGTAGTTGGAAATGATTTCCTCTAACAGATGCTGTTTTTTTCTGTGCTTCTGTCCTAAAGGCAATACCTGATGAGGAACCCGTGTCCCACTTTGCCCTTCCACCACCAGATACCACCGCATCACTCGGACTCCATCGAGTTCTACCAGAGACTGTCCACAGAGACTCTGTTTTTCATCTTCTACTATCTGGAGGTAATTATGCAGCCGACAGGTGTAGATTTTAGATCAAAACCAGACATGACAGAGAACTTTTATTTGGAAAAACAGCTGTAAGGTTACTCATGCATGCAGGAAAGGCACAAACTGATGTTTAAAAATTCACCAGAATGCAGAATGGTTCCATGCCCAGAATCAAAGCAGAGCCCCGTTCACGTGTCTGCTGCCGCTGTGTCCAAACTAAACCTGGTGCTCTGTCAGCTCCACACTGATCTGTCTGCTGTGTTAGACCCTAATGGTGTCACTGGCCTCTCTCTCAGGGTACCAAGGCTCAGTATCTGTCTGCCAAGGCGCTGAAGAAACAGTCGTGGAGGTTTCACACCAAGTACATGATGTGGTTTCAGAGGCACGAGGAGCCCAAGACCATCACTGACGAGTTTGAACAGGTGCAGCCACACTTCATGTCCATCCACACTGAAACTCAGGGCTGATGTCACCCAACATCTGTCGTTTAGGATAGTTTGGTGATGAAAGAGTCCTGGTATGTCTGTAAGAGTCACAGCATGTCGATAAAAGAGTTGTAGTACAGTATGTTGTTTTTTTCAATATAGTCATAGTGTGTATATGTTTTAAATTTAATGTAGTACAACATAAGGTGGCAAACATCCAACCTAATGACTGCACAAACCGTAAAATCCAATAAAGAGCTGATCATATCTCACATAACAGACAAAATATAAATGGAAGTCCAGATGTTAATCAGACAGAACAGCTTTAACTGATTCCATGTTTTAGAGGAAACAAACCAGAAATGTTCACATTCAGACAGAATTTAAGACGATTTTAATTTTAATAAATGTTCAGATGAGTTTTGATGGATGTAATAGTTGACAACTGATCGATTAACCGTTGACTGGTGGTCCAACCAGTGCGCTGACATTCAAATCTGAAATCGGTTAAATGTCTGTTCACGCCTCTTCTCCTTCTGCTCCTTCAGGGCACTTACATCTACTTTGACTACGAGAAATGGGGCCAGAGGAAGAAGGAGGGGTTCACCTTCGAGTACAGGTACCTCGAAGACCGAGACCTGCAGTGACGGACGGACGGAGGGACGCGAGAGGACGGAGAGACAAAACGTGCTGCTGTTGACATTCCGAGACTGAACTCCAAACTGTGGATAGAGATTGTGATGTGTAGTAGAAACCCTCTCCTGAAGCGGAGACTGGTGTCTGTATAGGCTGCATCTCGACGCCAAGCCCCCGCCGCTCGCGTCGCGCTTTGCTTTTGACGTTAAAAATCGCCCCGTGGGTTCGGTCAAACGCTGGGCGCTGCGCGAGCCGGGAGGCTTCTCGCCGGAGATCTGCGTTCGTGCCTGTCTGTGTGCACACTCAGTATGTGGCATTAGGAAAGCCTACCCCATGCATGTTTCTCATGTTTTGTTTTCTTTTTCCGTTTCGACATGATTCTCTGTACCACCGACCCAACATGAGCCTGGAAGCCTTTGACTTGACACAAAACAAACCTGATTGTTAAGTGAACTGCCCATCTTGTATTTACTGTAATCTGGTGGTTTAGAGCGGGGACGGACAGTGGACATTTAGTCTGGGTGCGTAGGAACGGCTTCTTTAAGACCCTACGATGCCTGTTTGAACATGGTCACTATTAGAGATATAGTGAGCGTTTATCAATAGTTTTATTGATACTGTCTTGGTCGATTAAAACGCTGATTGAGAGTGACCACAGGGCCTCTCCCTGTGACAGGGAAAGAGTCCTTATTGGACAAGGATTAAATTGCTATGCAATTGAACTGGTCTCTGACTCCCTCTCTTTACAAATAAAATGTTTTTGAGTTAACCTGTCAAAGAAAATGCATTATTACGGCGCCTTCATGTTTGTGACAAATTAATAAACTTGTAAAATAAACCTTTAAGAGAAAACAGAACAACATTAATGATGTTTGATTCTCACAGCAGAAAGGCCACGCTGAGCGTCCTGAATGTACCCCAGTCACCTCTAGTCACTGAACACACCGGTAGCATTAGATGATCTGGTTCCAGTCAACCTCCACCTTCAGTTCAGCTCCTGTTCTGTTGTCACTTCGTCCTGAGCTCCGCCCAGTTAAACCCACCACCTGCTGTTTAAGTGAAACCCTATACAGTGAATGTGCACTGACAAAACTGTTTACATGTAGAGTTGAAACCTAGAAACCCTAAAGCTCCGGTGGTGGGTTCAAGTCCGGCGGAGCAGGAAGCGTCTCGTGGTTGTTCACGTGCGACCCTGAAGAACAAACCTGCAGTTTGAATGGACGGAGTGTTAAAACTGAATCCGACTTTTTCCGTTTCAGCAACCATGAAAACTTCAGATCTGTACTGCGGTTAACATTTATGTTGTGTGTGATTAGTTTTCAGGCTTTTTTTGGGGGAGGGAAAAGTCGGGGGGGAAAGGAGGATGTGAAAAAAATGGAAAATGCAGCAAAGTTCTGAGAGATTTGCCTTTTATAGATTCTATTTTTTGGGCTTTCGAGGTTTTCAGAAAGGGAAGGTCAGTTGAGAAATTGCTAAAATGTGAATTTCAAGACGTATTTCCAATTTTTTCTCATCACAGTTCTGCATGGGAGATGTCATACAACGGGGTTATAACAGGATTGTAAAATTTCAATAAATACTTTTAAGAAATGACACGTCAGCGTGTGGTGTACAGTCCTGTCATTCACACATGGATTCACTTCACACTGAACAGAGTTAGAACCCTGTACCTCTGTTCTCATCGACCAAGTGCAGTGGAGGCGTTTCCAGTTTGATTAACCAAATAAAAGCAAACTGGGGCTGATCAATTTGGAGAAAATACGTAATCAGGACTTTTCTGATATTCTGATTTGATTAATAGATTTAAAACGTCACCATGAGACTGAATCAAATGAGGAAGATGACAGGATTTTGTAAAACCACGCACGAGGTTTGGCTTTTAAAACCTAAACTAACTGCTGACGCTTGAACCGCAGCCGGAAACGTAGAAACTAATTAACTGGCTGCAGGGTTAGGGGCTGCGATTTCACTGTCTGTCAAGCCGTCAGTTACTTCGTGGAGAACTCCGTCAGTTCTCACAAATGTCAGAAAACTCAAGTTCTTTGGATAAAACATTTTTCATCATTTTCTGTAACAGAGGAGGAAAAAAAACTACAAAATATTCCCACTTGACAAGCTGCCATCACAGAATTTAGACTGTTTTCTAAACTCTCTGATTCCAGCTTCTTAAATGTGTCATATATTGTAAATTATGTGAATACTTCCTGGTTTCTTTTCTTCTCTATGACAATAAACTAACTCGTTTAGTATGTCGTTCGAAAAAAAAAAAAAAAGTCATAATATAGTATGTCTTTTTTTTAAAAGTCAGTATAGTGTGGTGTTTCTTTAGAAAAGTCATAGTATAGTATGTTGGGGGGGTTGTTGTGTTTTTTTTAGTCATGTATAGTATGTCGTTTTTTTTTTTAAAGTCATGGTTTAGTATGTCGT